TAATTATGTATATGAAAATGTAGAAATATAAGAATAGCACACAGTGGCATGTTCAGCTTGCTAGTCTGTTTTCACATCAGCATACAATGCTGTTCTGCAAAGCAGCAGAACAGATTAAAGATCACAGAAAACAGTTTCTGGCTTACTCTTTCTGGTTTTGGAGGTACTCCTGGAATTCTCAGGATACAAATTTCTCTGTTACTGCATGGCGTTGGCATATGCGTGAAGGTCATAACATAATGTGCAGAGCTGCATGAGTTAAACTGAAAAACAGCCCCCAGTACGTGGTTTGACTTAATAATACCCTAATCCATAGGGCTGTAGATATCACACTGCAAATTGTTCAGATACAATTGCCTGATCTTTGCATTGTAATTCTTAAAATGGTTGGTATCACAGGTGTCTCAACCTGTTTTGTCATTTCAGTCATTACTAGGTTATTTTTAAAGCATGCTCAGGCATACGCAGTACTTAGTATAATTTTTAATTGCTATTCAAATGCTGGATATCATACAGATGAATTGGTGAAACAAGAAGCAGATTACTCCAGGGTCTGTACAGAAGTGTCATGATATAGGAAATTAGTCCTTAAAAATATATGTGGATTGAGGTAAAGTCAAGAGCACCCTAAAAGTATGATATGAAACGAGCTTCGTAAGCATCACATCTGGTTCCACCATCTCTGTAGTTTTTGTTTCCCATAACTACATATAGTTGCCTCAATATATATAATGATTGACAAATACAGAATCATACAAAGGACCTTTATATGATATCATAATAGCAGGCTGGCTCTACTGACTTCTGAGTCCCTTCCAGCAAAACAGAAGAGATGCATCTTTTTTCAGTGCTGTTTCTATAGCCCAGGTAAGTGTATGGTTCCTTTGGCAGCCTGCTCTGGCAGACAATATAAGCAGCACGAGTAGCTAGGTCTGTGCCACTGAAATGAATTCAGAAGTCAGCACACCTGCAGATCTCATGTCCTTGTACTCAGTGAGCACTGCAAGTTTCTTAACGCAGCTTTACGCACATTTTTCTCTTTGGACTGGGTGGAGTCAGGAAGAAGCCAAAAATGTTCTTGCTTGTGTAATTTTCAGTTAAGATCAGTTGAATTTAATTCTTGAATGTGATCTTTTTCCATCAGCTTGTGTAACTAAACATGTTATGTGATGTTGTGCTGTGGCAGAGGAGCTAGAAAGGTTATAGTTTAGTGGGAGTTGGAACATGGAAATCTAAACGTATTTAAAATTTAAAGAAAAAAACCCAACAGTATTCCTTATCTTTTAAAGGTATCTCTTGCCTGCCTCTCTGAAGTGTAAAGAAGCCTGAGCTGCTTTTTTGATTCCTTTTTTCCCCAAGCACATTTATCTTTTGGAGACTTATCTCTCTGACACCTGCGTAATGGTCATAATGCACAAAAATACTGCAGCTGCCAAGGCACAGCATTAAGACTGTCAATATACGCATTCACATGCTTGACATATTTCCTGCTATATTTAAGGTATTTGATAACATTTCCACATTAATTTATAGGATCAAATTCTGCAGTCATTTTAATAAAGGTAAAATTCTGGCCTCAGCATTGCCTACGATGGAGCTCAAAATCTTTAATGTGTTGTGTGCAGCCACTTGAATGGTGAAAGCTCTTTGTTGAGTACAGCATGTCCGTGGGTTACTGCTTATGCAAGAAAGTTGTACTGTGGCTGCATGTTCCCTAATGAGATTAGGCAATCAATTCATATAATCTCTCATTCTGTTGACTGCTTTACTGCCAGTAAAAGGACACTTATATAACTTACCTGCACAGAAGACCACATCCCTCCAGTTTGAGAGATGAGGCTGATGACTGATTGTGAATTTCCACTTGTGGTTTTGGAGCAGGAGCTAGGTCTTGTCTTAATACCCTGCAGCAACTTTGTTCCAGACTGTGTACTAATTTTTTATGAACAATAATGACTCTCGTCAAGGCATCCAGCATTTCCTCACAATACAGCTTTTCTTTGAGGAGGTATTGCTAAACCTCAACAAAGCTGGGAAGCACTCTAGAGAACTTACTACCACTACTAGAGTGATGCCAGCTGTCAGACTGCATGGAGGGGAAAACCACTTGGCCAAGTAAAGGCAACTACCAAGAAGATACCAAATCAAGACTAGAGAGGTCTGAGGGGAAAAAACAGTTTTTGGGAAGGAGAACAGGGGACAGTAGAGAAATAGCAGAAGAAAGGCTACATTTTCTTTGGCTGAGCACCCAAAACATCAACACCATCATCATCAACATCAAATCAGGCAGGTGAGTGGGAACCTGAATATTCTTATCCAGATCTGATGTACATTGAGGAGAGTGGAAGATAAGTTGTGCAATCCCTTCATCACCTGACTGTTAGTGCTGGATGACACAGATCTTACACAATCCCACTCCAGAACCTCTTCTGCCATGAGGAACTGGATTGTTATGCCTACTGCTGGCTACCAAATGCTAGACAGAGAAAAGAGCAGCTGGTGCCACGCTAACTAATCAGCAGAAAAAGTACCATTTTCTTTGTGCTTCGTGGTGTTGTCAATAGCAGAAGCAAAACACTGCATGTTAACTCTTCCCTTCCTTGTCTGAATGCAGTCATTTCATGGGGCAGTCCTTCTAGTGAAGAACATTTGCTGGCACCATTTGTAATGAAAACAAACACAGAGAAAACGAGGCAATAGAAACATCCAAAGGCCATTGCCTTACGAAAAAAAGATGCCATAGCTCAGGAATGAGAAACTTTGATTCTGCAGGCCAGATTCAGCTGTCAGACCATGCCTCATTGCACTTCTTCCCAGGGGTCCCGAAGTCCTCATAGAAGTGTATCTGTTGTATGACAAAAACATAGGGAGAAGACCAGGGAATCTGGTCACACAACAGGGATGACTGGCATGTCCCCACCACAGGCAGGAATGTATCTAACAACAGATGAGTGGATATGTGACAAGCACAGCCAAAATACAGGTTTCCCCTTTGTTTCACATTTCTATCAGGAGATTGAGAGATGAGTCCCTGACAGTTTGCAGGAGAAGGCTGTGGACACTGAATGGATTCGCATGGGGTTTTTTTAAGTGACAAAACTATATCCTCTAAACCAGTTGTTGTTGGTTTTGTTCTTAAAAAAGTTTGTGGGGCCCTAAGTTTTTTAGGCTTTAGATCAGGGGAAGCCAACTGAAAGCAGTGCTGTTCATCTTAGCTGTCTTTTGTAGATCACTTAGGAGTGGTGTTCATGGTTCTCCATATGAAAATCTCCCTTGTGTACTGCACAGATACAACCATTGCATTATGCATTGTAATTGTAGGTGTAACTAATGAAGTCCACTAAATATGCTTGAGAACAATTGGTCTATTGAGCCTTGGTCTTTCTCCTAAATAATTAAGGAAACATCAGGGACACTTGCTTTCTCCATTTTCTTGAACAGAATCCTATTTTAAAAAAGAATTGCCTGTGTGTTCATTGAGACACTATTTGAGATTTGGCTGAAGTATCTTGGAGGCTTCATAAACAGAGGGAAAAAGAACCTTCAAATCTCTTTTTTCTGGACAGGAGCTTCCTAAGCAGATCCTGGAGATAGATGTTACAGCCAAAGCTGTGAATTTTAAACAGATTATTGGCTGCTTAGATTGAAGGCTGGCTGGGGTCAATTCTGCTATCAGACAATTTTAATTAAGGTGTATTGAATTTTTCCAGGAGACTTATTTATTTATTTATTTCCTATTTGGTGTCATGTGTGGAGAACTTGTATTTCTTATTTTGGCAAACAATTTTTATAGCTCTCTGGGCCTCTTGAACTGTCTATTCAGCATTAAAAAGATTAATATCAGTGCAAGTAGGAAATGATAAAAATTACAATTACAAAAAATGCCAAGTCTGTGTATTCACAGAAGAATAATAACAAATAAAGAATGTGATGTTCAGACTCACTGAAAGTAAGAACTAAACCAATGTACAGAAGTAGCAGACAGCACATTTCATGATTTGATGTTTTGGTTTTTTTTAACAAATAGAGAAACTAAGGATAGAAACAAACAGTATGAGTTGCCCAAGGCTATGCAGCACATCGGTGACAAAGCTGGGAATGTATTCCAGATACCCATCTACCCAACAATGCTACTTCTGTCTGCGACCTCTGCTCACCTCCAGTACTCGAGCTTGTCAGGCTGCACACCTACCATGGTGCAGACCTCCAGCACAGCTGTGCAATGGCACGGGCATCTGGCCCTGTGAGAGATGTTTCGCATGTCCGAGATCTGTTGAGATGTGCATCAGGGCACAAGACCACTATTTCTTTGAGCTCACTGGTCCTACTTTAACTGTAACAGGTCATGGTTTTCAGGTTAGCTATTGATAGAAGGCTGCTACCTTCAATGTGGCACATTTACCTAGCTGAAATATAATGTTCCCTGCCTCACTTCTAAAGGAGACCTGAGGCAGTACACAGGAGAAACTGTAGTACCTTGTAGCAAATGCAGAAAACACAGGCATGGCTGTGGAGAATACAAGGTGAGAGCCTCACAGCCAGTGCCTCAAAATTGCCATTTCACATTTTCACCATAACTGTTTTTAAATAGCTGGAGACTTCATCACACCTCTGAACTTCAACACTGAGTCAGACAGTCATAGGGACAGCCTGGAGGAATAAGTGAATGTTGTATAGAGCTCAGTACAGATATTGTCAAGTCCAGAAGTCCAGCAGACTACAAGAGATATGAAATGTGACATCCATGAAAGGATCAGGAGCCTAGCATCCCTGAAGATCCACTTATCAAATCAGGTATCACTAGTTTTATTTACAGTACTTCTTAATGGATTGAAATACCACAGTGGCCTCCTCTCTAGCAGAGAGTAACACCTTCTCCATCCAGTTAGTGCCAGGTGGCATCTACCTTGCTCCCAACCTTTTTAATCTAAAATTTGTGTACAAAAAAACATGGAAGACATTGGTATCCCTTCTAATCATGTCATGTTTGCTTCCTGCAGGGGAACGGCCTTTTGAATGCAACTGGCAAGGATGTAACAAGAAGTTTGCTCGCTCTGATGAGCTGGCCCGCCATTATCGCACTCACACTGGAGAAAAGAAGTTCAGCTGTCCTCTCTGTGAGAAACGCTTCATGCGCAGCGACCATCTGACAAAGCATGCCCGTCGCCATGCTAATTTCCACCCAAGCATGCTCAAGAGGAGAAGTGGAAGCAGCTCAAGAACAGGATCTGTCAGTGACTACAGCCGCTCAGATGCCTCAAGTCCAACGATTAGCCCTGCCAGTTCCCCATAGACCTACCTGCACTGGATGTCAGCACTTTGCCTCTAATATCTAATGTGGAGTTTTGTTTGTGTTGCACACATTTGAAAAAAACTCTGTCGCTTCCCCTCCTCAGTTCCCTTTTAAAAAAAAAAAAAATTTTAAAAAAAATTCAGTAAATAGCTGCCTCCCACTGCAATTTCCAGTCAAATTTTCTTACCCAACCACACAAGTGGCTATTCTAACCTCATGGACAGACAGACTTACATGTTCCACTTAGTGACTCCTTCTGTCTCAATATTTCATACATTTTGCAACCATTTACAGATCCTCTTGATTATTCTTTATAAGAAAATGTCAAAAATCTAAAAAAAAGAAAAAAACCCCACTTAATTCACCTCAGGTGTCAAAGTAGTTTTGTGAGACCAGATTGCACAACATGAGCATACATACACTTACAAATCAACTGTGTTGGATTGTGTCCCCCTTCTCCTTTCTCAGGGATGGATATTTATGTTACACAATAATTACAATGAAGACACACCCTAACTGCAGCCTTACTCCGTAAATATATTTGCACTCAGAAGCTTTTTGTTAGGTTCTTTCACACACTGGGGAAAAAAAATAAAAAACAAACAAACAATACAAAAACCAAACCAGTACTGGAATGTAATACCAGACTCTTCCATTGTTTGTTTTCCTGATGATATACCTACACTGGGGAGCGTCCAAACAGGAGTCTTGTCTTTCTTCAAGCTGCCCTCTGCTTTTGGTAGCAAGTCGTCTTTTCACTTCATGCTGAAGATACTCCAAAACCGACTTCCTATTGCAAGAATCTCTGTGAGGTTAATAAACTCGTTTGTTTCATGCTAGATAAAATTCTGAGAAAAAAAATCTAAACAAGATGCCTTAAGTAAATAACCTAAATCACGAGGAAATGTATTTACACTGGGTAATGTTTTTTTGCAAGGTGGCATGGAATCTCGGAGGCATTCTGTCATTACTCTCTCCAAGTTGTTAAGCTTTCTGCACTGCCTGTTCAGTATGGGACCAACAGAAAATTTAAATCAAACTACACTGACTTGAACAATTTCCTTTACTCTTTCTTTCTTTTTTTTTTTTTTTAATGAACTATGGAAATAGCATAGCTGAACCAATGCCCACCAACAATTTTATCAAGGTACTTACCTACTGTACAGCTGTATCTTAGCAAGACAGATTGGCTAAGACATAGTTTCTGTGTCCTGTTGCATCACAATCATGATCACTGATAAAAGGAAGCAAAAATTATAAGGTAACTTCCGACTGGAAAAAAATAAAATATGCATTCTTAAGTTTTAAAATAAAATTACATTTAGCTCAGCACTACTACAAGTTTCTCAAAAATCCACATACCAGCATAAAGTAAGGTGCTCTCAATTCTGAATAACTGTTTAATAGCAAAAAGGGAATCTTGGCTAGTTTTCAGTAACTTTCAAATATTTGACACAAGATAGAGCACTAGGAGGTAGATTTTTATGTTTTCTATAGTAGAAATACAGTAAAAGACCAAGAGCATTGTGATGTACTGGAGACCTCATTGGCAGCAAATACACTTTCCTTGGTTTGACTGGGTCTGATGGTGCAAATTATAAATTCAGGTCCTTTTGATTCTGGAATCTTTGGGGTTTTCTTGTTTTTACTGTAGGGTATAAATGCAGTTAAGTGTAGCATGGTGAAAATAAACTCTCTACGCCAAACCTGCCATTTGATATCAAGTGAATGCCTCCACATTCCCAAAGAACCTGTATCTTACTTGCTGCTTTGCATTGATCGAATTTTGCAAATTTTTATTGTACTGTATATTAACTGTGAGAGGCTAATATAGATTTCCAAGTAGTTTCATAGGTACTTCCATAATATTTACATTATTCCTAATGCTACGCATTCTATTAGTTGTATGGATAAATACTTAAAGACAGTTCAAAGTGCAGATATTTCAGTATTTTTTTGCATGTTCATTTGCTTCAGATTTCACCTCTATAAAATCACAATTTTCCCCTTTTGAATTGGAAGTCATGCGAGGCACAATTTTACTGTTTCATTTCACAGAAAATGAAAGAACATTGTAAGGTTTTTTTGCAAGATGACAACTATCGTTGAGTTTGTGCGATGCGTTGCCTAACCACTGTGACTTAGGGGAAAGCCAGATCTGTTTGCCTGCACAGATTTCCTCTTTTTTTTAAAAAAAATAAAATATTTTTTAACTTCATCTGCTGAGCTACACAATTTTAACAACTTGATACAATTCAGGTAACAGGAATTCACATTCCAATCATTTCTGTGACTGCTAAAAGTGTTCTTGTGCTGTAGTTAGTAAAGAGGCATTTAAGATATCTAGCTAAAGGAATTCTACAGGTGAGCTGTGTCTTGTGCACATACTTCAAAACAAGTCATAAACACATTTCTCATCATTACACCTTAACAGAGGGATGTGGGGAAGTGGTGGGACCAAAATCAAAAGGACAACTAAGTGTCAGCAAAAATCATAGGCTTCATAGTCTCAGTTCAGTTTGTTGTAAAATCATCTTTTCTATCAAGAGTATAATTTAATCTTTAGCAGAGGAGGAACCATGCCAGTACATTTATTTAGGGCATAATAATTCCACATGAATCAGTAGGTGCATTAGAAACAAGCCTTTTTAATAGCCTGGAGAAAAAAAAATTTGTACCAGGTTTTATTAGTACTGAGATTATGGGATATAAAGATTATGGAACAACCCATTCTGAGTGACACAAGAACTATGTAATCTCTAACTCAAACAGTAAACTAAGCAGTTTATGTATATTCCTCATAGATATTACTAACAATTCTCCAAGTTTAAGCAGAAAAAACAAAATTGGTTCCAAGTTGAATTTCCAGTCAGCCAGTTCATCTAATGAGAAGACTATGAGAATATATACAGTCAACATAACTATGCTTTCAGGAAATTATCTGAAATTTGTAATTAAAACTTTTTTTTGGACCTCTTAGCTGTAAAATACCTCAGAGTGTGTTAGGCTGACAGTCAAATTACCGTGTTTTAAAATCCCAGCTAGAGTTTCCAGTATCTCCATTAGATGTTTAATACATGATAGCTTTAGGATAAAATTATTAATTCCAAACCACTAGTAGTTTCCAAAACTGAATGTAAACAAAACTTCTATTAAATTTTAATACAGAAAGAGAGTGTTTGGGCTAGAAAAGAAACAGAAGCACAAGCACCAGCAGAGTCATAAGGCTCCACTCTCATGATGGTTGCTCCTGAGTTTTTTAGATATTAGGCACCTAAACAGATCAAATTATGTTTTGAAATCTGGGTGCTTATCCAAACTAACCTCAGATTTTTATTACCCTTTTGTTGTTTCACCCAGCAGTGTAACCTAAAACCTCTCCTGGCATAGCAACAAACATTGCACACTGAGGAAATACTGCTCTGGCAAGGTGCAGATTTCTTCACAGTGCTCCATTTGGAAGAGAGAGCATCTCACCTTCTGCCTCCTCCTTTCCCCATGCAATCTGCTGAGATGAATCCCCACAAACTGCAAAATTGCCCTATTTTTTTCCCTTTAAGTTCAGAATATAATAGGTTTATTATTATTATTAAGAAAGCCCTGAAAGTTTGTTTTTCTCCAGCATTATTCTAGCTTCCTCTTGTAAGAGTTGAGCTTAACTGCCTTGTTAGAGGAAGTGGGTGCCTGTGAAAAGCATCACTTCACTACCACCACTCCACTGAAACTAAAGACACTCTTAGAAACTTATTCACCCCACCATTAACCTCATCCTGTGCACAGGCCTAAAGTGCCTTAATGGCCAGCTTTCATCCTGCTTCTTAGAAAGCAGTCCTGGTAAACTCCTGGCAGCTAGACCTTATTGTGAGAATTGTTTATATCTGCAAATTACTTGTTCCTTGCTTTTATAATATATGCATAGTATTTGTTTACATTACATAACTGCAAAAGTATCTATTTATAACAAGTCATCAGAAGCCTCTGTTTGATGGTAACACCTAATTCCTTTATGTATCCTACCCTCTTCACTGCATGAACCTTGCAATAACTTTTAGCTATGAGAGCCTCTGTACACCTTTAAAACCTCTGCTTTCTGTCCAGGCATCCAGCACTTTCTGTGTTTCATGCAGCCAGTCAGTAAAAGGCTGTGTAAGGAGCTTACCCTTTAATAGCTATTCACGTTCGCAACTGCTTTTCTCCATTTCTTTGCCATGAGTTCTAGAATATGTATTGCATGAAGTACATTGTTTGGGGAACATGGTTTGTGAAGAAAGAATGAGGAAAATGAACTCTGCATACTTAAAGTTTGCCTTTTTATTGCCTTTGATTTACTAATTTCATCAGGTGGTGCCTACAAACTGACTTTCAGGTGCTCTTTTACTCCATCACACCATCTGTTTGTGCATTGGGTGCTAACATATAGTCTATGCCAGTGAATGGTATGATGAATGTCTGTATTTTTAACTCTTATGGGGATGAAGCTATAGCCTTAGGCAGAAGAAAATAACTGAAATATGCTTGTTTACCCCATAAGCCAGGATATAGAATGCAAAAGCCCATCCACTGGTAAAGGTTTTAGATAAATATATAAATGTTTATATATATGATTTATATAAGCATATGCACATATATAAAATATGTATATATGTGTATATTGTATAGTACATGTGTATATACATACATGCATAGCAGTGTGTATATACCACACACCGAATAATGAAGGGATGTCGACAGAGCAAAACCAGGTATCCATTTCATTATAACTAGTGATGGGTCTGAACCAAAATCCTAGATCCAAACGCCATTGTATTTGGAAAGTTTGAACCTGTTTTTTGAGATTTGTGGTTGAGTTTCATCTCTGGTTGCAGCTGTGTATATATGCATTCTGGGAGACGTGTGTGTGCATGCACATATGCTTTTTCACAAGGGCATGGTTGTCTGGGTGACAGAGAATATGAGTGCCAGTAAGTGTGCATGTGTTTACATACATACTTTCAACTTTG